TCCACTGGATAGCTCTGGTGCAAAAGGAGTTGAGATGAGGCCAGGCTGAAACGAAGGGTAACCGCTTTGGGTCTACGTGGCAGTTCCTTTCAGACAAAGGTTTCCCACCCCAGGTAAAAGGTTTGCAATATGCTCACCAATCTAAGCTTTTGTGATGTGCTGAAATTAAAGTGTTACAAGCAGAGTCCATTCAAACCTGACACAGAAAAGAGGCAGAAACCCCCCATCATTCACAAATCCAGGAACACAGGCACATCGCTCACTGACATGGCCTGAGCTACAATCCTGCAGACACATTGGCAGATGTCCCTCGGGCTTTTCCAAGCTTTTGAGACTGCTCAGTCAAGTGTAGATGCTGTCTGTGAGCCCCTGTCATTGCTTTAGCTTCTCTGTTTGAAGGTGTCTGTTGACTTGGGGCCCTGGTACTAATGCAGTACAGTTGCAGGAAAAACTCTGCAGGAAGCTTAAGATCAGGATAAACAACTTCTTACAGTTAATGGTTTTCTCAGTATTTCGGCCAATGCAATGCCAGCCTGCTGAGAGTCTCAACATTAGCACAGGCATAACAGAAAGTGCTTTTCAAGGTCTACGTTCCTGCTAATACTGGATTACTTTATATTGTATCATAAAAGTTGTCCGAATGGCAATTCAACAAGCCAAGACTTGATTCACAGACCTGACCATTACTGATGCAGCTGAGGTCAAGAACTACAAATAGAGCAGATAATTAGAAGGGAAGTGCATGCTGCTGAGCAAACACATCAGGCATGGGAAGATTTTCTGCTCTGCAAAGGTAGAGAAACTGCATTTACAGAACTACCTGAGAATCATTTTTTATATCGGTTAGAAAACGCACCCACCAGAAAACGAGGACTTGAAGGCTTACAAATACCAGAATATTAGCCTGTATGCATTGCAGTTGCTCTTTTAGGGTTTGAACAAGGGGCTCTGTATAGACGTGAAAGACTAAATTCACCAGTGGCATAACAAAACGCAGGCAGCCCTTAGCAGAGCTGTCCTCTTATTTCCCAGGAAAATGAGCTATCAGGGACAAACGACCCTTTGGGACTAACAGTTCAGAGTCATTGCTGGAAGCAATGCAGAGAAGTGCATTGCAGCAAACGGAGCTGCGCACAGCTTCCACCAGCAGAAGACAACAGGCTCTGCTGTCTTGTTCTACACCCTGGAAAGCAAAGCACGGATCCCTCCCACCTGGAAGAGCTTGGTTGACCTGTCTGCTGGGAGAGAAATGCTTACTTTGATACGGAAACAAAATATCAAAAGCTTTTCATTCTTGCCTTCATTCTGAGTTTTGCTGGTTTTCTTGTCTCGTTGCAAGACTTGGTTAATTTTTGTTTCACATTCTTCTCGAAAGCTGGCAACTGACCACCTGGTTTGGATGCACCTTTGTGTCTAAGGACTTGGTAGATAAACAGTCCATTCATACTTTTAAGAGAGACTGTGTGTGGACATCAGGCAATATTCAGATGCTTCAGAAGACATACAATCCGCATAATTCATCTTGTCAGCAGAGTAATGCTATGGCATTGACAAAACCCCTACATAAACACCCAGCTGGTAATACAGTTACGCCCTGAGGAAAAAAAGATTGATAGTCTTGGTGATTTTACTGTGCTATAACAACAGAAGCCATTTTTGTCTACATATTTCTCTAATCCTTTCCTGAAACATTACTAAATACCACTGCCTGACAAAGGTGAGCTCTACAAGTTAACAACACGTCACGGAAAGAGCAAGCTAAAACCCTGGTGCTAAGCTTGAAGCTGTAGTCCTTTTGCTCACTAATGAAGCCGCGGATACCAGAGATATTTTTAGGATGTCTGCAAACCTTGTTATAATCCACAAAAAAAAGTTTAGCTATGAAAGGAAGACATGGAATGTTACAGAAAAATAAAAACTAAAATATCTCCCAATACTATTAGAAATGTCTGAAGAGCCAACACAAAAAGTCTCACCTGACATAAAGCAAAAATTTAAACAAATATCCTTCGGTGTTGTAATTCCTGGAACAAAACTTATTAGCAAATTTAAATTAATTCCGCTCCAGGCGTTATGATACACTATCAGTTACTCCCTTAGCCCCCCGGGAAATATTCCGCTATTGCTGTCAGTCAACTGCTTGAATGCTTGGAGTTTACCAGCTGCATAACATATATTGATTTTTGATAAATGACATCTCTCTCTGGGCCATTATGGTTTTGTTTTCAAACCTTATTTAATTGTTCGCCTATTTTTCAGTGAAATAAATGCAAAGTGTTTATTCTCCAAAGGCTGTAAACAGAGATCTCAGGTCTAGTTTCTATGACAACCTCACTTGATACAGCAAACCTAGATTATCTCTAATGACAGACATGAAGTTTAAATTGCACATTCTGCACAAACAGTGCACTGTTGACCTTTTATTGAAAAATGGAATACAGTATGATTAGCATAATGTGCTATATGAAAGGGAAAATCGTGGAATAATGCAGATTGTACTCTAATCATACCTACAGTGCTAATCTCTAGCAAACTGTTTGCCAGAACATGAAGCTTGAAAAATTAAGATTTTTCCCGGACTCCATTTTCAAATCTTGTTAGACAGTACTGCTATCGCATTAAATAGTTCTCAGATAACACTTGCTGCTTCTGCTGTTTTTCTCCCGTTGAAATCTCTGACAGGGGAGTAAAATTGGATAGGGTTATGTAGAAGTACTGCAAAAAAATTCCAGCTATGAGAACTATTTTTAAACCTCCTGAAGGCATTTTTTTCTCATGCTTACCAATTCGTTTGGAAGCGAGAGCCAAAAGAAATAGTCCTTTCTGTCGGGTGCTTTCGTCCAAAACATGCCTGTTTTCCTAGGAGGAAAATTTGCATGTATGCTAGTGAATAAAACCCAGCTCATCTACGGAGACGGAGAGGCTGCAGGAGACATTCTGCTTTGCAAGAGCAGAGATGGAAAATGCCTTGCCTTCATATGCAGCAAGCTTCAGCAGGCTTTGATTTTGCCAGCTACCATTTGTTGCTGCTCACAGAAGTGTCTGCAGCAGTTTACAAAATGTTCACACTTTGGGGAGTTTGGTGCATGAATTGAGGTTCCCATTGGAGCTGTAAGAGTCACATGTAAGGGGACAGCAGGCTGTTAAGTTTGTCCTTCCCTCTGCAGAATTCTTTAACTATTTCCTTTAAACTTTCATAAAACAATAGGAAATATTTTCAATACTGAATGAGACTTCAGCTCACTTGTCTTCAACATAATCAGTGAACAGTCTGGAGACAATCAAGCAAAACCACAATTAATATCTAAATACAGTTACAGACAGTAGAACTGAGGGGTTAAGGAATTAGCTTATTCCTGCAGTACCCCAAAATAATGCCTGGTTGACCATTATCCTCCTGCCTATGTTTAAAAAAGTTTTAAAAGTGTCATTGTCTATGTTGCTAGTGAGTGTCAAGTACAGAGGAAAAACATAAAAGTAGCTCTCCATTTCTTAGTAGGAAGCCTTGGATTGTCCATGCCTGGTCATAAAAACTGGAAAAATCACAGGCACTCAGCTATTGCCCCTCTTTTTTCCAGAGAAAGATATTCAGCAATGAGAACTCATTAGCATCACATCAAAGCGGTCTCTCCATCCCTCCCTATTTAGCAAACAAGCTAAAAATGATTTTCAGGTGCTTGTCTACAGAACAATGCCATTAGAGGAAACCTATTCCCTCATTTCTCTCTCACTCTAATGGGTTTGTGCCATTAATACTGTCAGCTGAGTTGTTTTTAACCAGCAGTTAAGGCAGCAGCAATAATAAACCATTGTTTTAGCACAGGCAGACCCCAATGTACTTGCATCCTAAGCAGCTATTCACCACCACCGCTATTCTCTGCATATCAAGAGATCTCTGATTTTCAGGGTTTTCCATTTGGCAGTATTATTTTTTCTTAGTAAGCATTGTCTTCCACTACAGCAGCTGACAGGAGGGAATCAGTTCACTCAAAAGACATCCACTTGTTTTCACATGGAGTTGTTACACTTGTAAACCCAACCCTGTCACTTGATAGGTAAGAGAGGAAACTGTTTGGTAAGGCAGCACATCCCAAGCTTCGGTATTTCTAATCCCTGCAACGCTGCCCAAACTTGCCCACTGTAGAAGGAATTTTTAGACTTCCCTGCCTCATTTGATGGCAATGAGCATTTGTGGTGCTGCTCAGGTGGTGGGTTACAGGACAGAGGCTATATTGACCTTATCTGCACAGCTGTTCGAATGTTGCCACACATTTTAGAAGTCTTTACCCAAAAAAAGTCAAGGTAAATATTGACAACAAAAATGGTAGCAGAAGCCAATATATCTGAGCAGTAACTTTGCAAGGGGTGTCCTTACTTCCTAGTATGTCTAAACACAAATAAATGAGTGCTTTTAAAGACATTGTAAATTATAAACTTATTTAAACACCACCAGCCTCTGTCAGACCATTACATTTCCTGGACATTCACTTCCACAGGTCAGAACAACTTAATTACTTCCTTGTGCTTCTACCACATTTCTTCAGTTTCCCCTCATAACATTTTTAGTTAGGGTACTGACTAATTTTGGTACCTCCAGTTACTTCTTATCCTCTGTTTCACATTTCCTTCAGGCACAGTTTGCATAGCTCTAGTCACTTGTACAAATATTTAAAGCCAGCAAGACAAACCAAGTATAACAAATCTAGAAATAAAGCAACTCCCACAGAAGCTAATGTTTACCCAAACCAGAGTATCAAATATTCCACACCTCTCTCCAGGCGGCCTCTTCTGTTTCTCTAAGGTGGGATCTGATGGCACTGTGGATAAGAAAGACCAACGAGCCAAAGTCCCTGCCATTTCTGCATTCCCACCTTCAACCCTCAGTTGTTCAAGCTTTCCAGCCCGCTCCGTGCAATCCTGGAGGGGCTCCAGCTCCTGTAGGCTGAATGCAGATGCAGCCTTTGAGATGAAGAAAGTGCAAAGATCAGTCCTATACTCACCATGCAGAAGAGTCTGGACTCCACACCAGACATAGACACTGTCAACCCCATCACAGGACTGAACTGTGACCAGGAATCACCGTCTTTGTTGCCCCACATCTTCAGAGCTGGAATTTGGACACCCTAACAAAGTGAATAAAAAAGTTCAATTGGGCAATAAAAATTAAATGACAGACCTAATTAAGTAAATTATTCACATCAAAGTAAAGCATATCATTAAGAACACTGAAAATTCACGCTAGCTGATACAATCACCTTCCCGCAGTAAGTAAACATCTCCTGCAAAAAGTCAGACAGCTAAAATACCATTTGCTTTGAAATGAACTTTTAGCCCCATAGCTCAGCCAAGCATTCACATGTTTTTTTGTTGGAAATGTAACCGGCTCCACGAGATGCCAGACAGCTAGAAGAGCACTCTAGATACTATTGTCTTGGGGCTGCCACAGTCATCGCTCCTACCTATACACATCCCACCACTTTTGTACGGCTGACAAAACAGCTACAGATAGCTCTTCCACTCACAGCTGCTTAGCAAAGCTGTGAATGAAAGCTGGAGCTGGTACAAGGCAAGTGGCAGAAATGAAGCATAATATGTTCAGCTGCTGCTATAAAGACCAGAACCAAAGTCCCAAACATATGCAAGATTCCAGCTGGTGATTACCCACAGCTCAACGGACACAGGTAGCTCATCCTGCAGGTGAAACTGTCTGCCATCCACTTAGAGGATTTGTAGTCCTCTCCACTGCTCAGTAAGCCAAGGGATCCCCGACAGGCCTCCAAGCCTTTAGCTGCAGCCACGGGTGTCCGAGACTCCCCTCTGCAATCCCCACGAGCACAGGGAAGAGCTGGGGCACTCAGATGGCACAAGAACATTTCTGGGGCTCCGAAATAAAACACCCTGCAACTCAAGTTCTGTTACTATTATTCTGTATATGATTCAGTATACTGTACTGTCTACCTATATGCAATGTTCAATTGTTCTTTGATCCAACTGGAAACCAGATTTTTCAGTAAAAATCAGGTTGATGTTTACAGTCATATACTTTAAAAGTAACTTCTAATTTTAAAGAAAAAAGCATTCATAAAAAGGGCTCTACCCTTCACAAGAGCCTTTGCTTCAACCATTGTTGGCATCCTTTCGGATGCTGTTTGTAATGACTAAGGACTGTTCAGAACCTTCAACATCTAACACCCCCATCCTCTGGGAAAAATGTATTTGATCAAGAGATGTTGGGCAACTATTATCCCATCCTTGGAGGGGATCCTTAACCAGGTCAGGAGAAAATTTCTCAAAAAATTTTCTTCAAAGTCTTCATCTGCTGTAGCCCCTTTCTTGTTTCCCAGCAAGGTAATCAGGACACAACGCCATAAATTAGGGAATGCGAGCAGACAGACCAATTCCAAACAGGGTGAGGGCTTCCAGTTAGGGCGGCTTCCAGATTTGCTGAATGCCTGCTATATTGACAGGCTGTAGCAGAATTTGAGAATTATATTATTAATCAGAGGCTATGAAAAAAGATGAGCGTCAAACCGCCAGGCATGATAGGAATGTTAGTCAAAGGTGTCTGCAAACTTCTGCTGACCCCTTACACCAGCCAGGTCGAGAGCTTTTTCATTAATGCTAATGTTTTTCATATTAGTGCTTCACAAAGAAATCCTGCTGACTGCTAGGGTCAAGGAGTTCACAAGACACGTTGGCCACATCAGCAATACACTGATGATTGTTTCTGACATGACCCCACCGCTAATGAAGGGCCATTTGTGAGGGAATTGCTTTTCATGCCGACAGAGGTTTGTGATGAAGGTATAAAACACACGTGGAGTAGGACAGGCCACTTCTTTCATGATATAGTAATGAAAGACGACCATCCTACTGAGACACAGTGTATCTGTGCAAGTAACACACGGCCCTGGGTTTCTCCTTCCCATTCCCGTCACTAAATTTCCTTATACGCAAGATGCTGGTTCTGCTCCTGGTTGCTAAATGACCAAGATCCCTCTATTCATGGCCACCGCATCAAGTCCTTCACCTGTAAGTTCAGACATTTTGAAGCCCAGGTCAATACTACAGCTCAGCACCTCTCAGTCCACTGCATCTCCTGCATGACTCTCTTTTGGGACCCCTGCCAGCGAGGCCTTAGAGAGGACAAAAGGCTGACGTGCACTGCAGGGATTGCAGCAGCAGGCAGCACGAAGAGGTAACCAAGTAGTCCCAATCTTTTGTACCACCACCCATGTTACCAAAGCTTTTCCTTTCCAGCCTGCAGGTTGAGTCACGGGGCAGCAAGGACCGCAGGAGCAAGGATTGCAGAGTGGTAGAACAAGAAAGCACTTAGGCAGGTTTGTTCAGCAAGAAGCTGTCTGTAATCTGTTCTATAGTCTTCTGCTAGGAGAACCGTAGCCACATACTAGTCAGTGAGTGATCCTTGCTGTGTAATCCTGTTTAAAGCAACATTTCCACCTCCTTTGGTGGACATCAGTTCCTGCACTTGCCCAGGCATGAATCTATCACAGAATCATGAGAGAGATCTAAAGGAGGCTTTAGGAGGTCATCCAGAAAGGAACATGAACTCTGGCTCTCCTGATAGATATCTCTAAGCCATTCTGAATGCACTCTTTGGAGACTCACAAGAAACCAGGCCTGAAAAGCCCCTCTTCCTGTCATTGTGAAGACAGACAGTCTCTATCACTGTGTCTTCCCAGCATCTCAGGAACATCCTTCACTTTATGTAAATTATGCTTTTCTGTGACAGCCTGAAGGCTCGCTTCCCTAATAGATAACACCTTATCTGTTTATAAAAGACCTTCACAGACTTGCATGTTTAATTTGTTAGTGACTAATAGTTTCATTACCTAATAGGAGTGGCTACATGTACTATGGGGGACTGCAGAATTATAGGGTTTTAAATAATTTTCACCCTGAGGAGAACAAGTTGCCATAATAGTATATGAGTATATAAGCATTACAAGATTTTGTGGAGGAAGGGATTGCATGCATACCTACAGAATCAACCAAGCAGAAAATCTACAGAAATCATAAGCAAGGAACAGTGATGCTGGGAACATTTCCCTTCGTCACCTTGATAAGGACCTGCTGGGAGAAAAGAATTCCATGTTATGAAAATGTCAAGATGTCAGATACTCCTTTTCATCCCTAAGATTGGGGTGAGACAGTGTCTTTCTCAGCAAGCCTTTTCTATTGGATCTGTTGTTCTTCGCATAGATATGATACCAAGCAAGGAACAGCAATAACAGAGACTCAGGTTTCCCACCCCGTCAGCGACCTGCTAAACCATGGGTTCTTCTGCTGGAGCTGTTTGTGGCTCTTTTTAAAAAACACTTTTCCACAGAAGGTTTTAGCTTTGATGAGCCATTGCTCTGCAGCATAAACACATTCAGTCAGCATTCCCAACCTCTTCTTTAGCTTCCCACTCAGGGAGGGGAATGAGGCAATGGTTCACAGCTGTATTATCACTGCTGTTAGGGCTGCAATGGAGAATAGAACTCCAAAAGGCATCAGAGGGCAAAAGCAAAGCATTTGAGGGCAACCTGCAACCACAGCATTTTTCCTAGGTGTCTCCTGCAGAACTGATTTTCCCCACAGAAAGAGTGGCAAAACTTCATTCTGAAAATGGCTGCAGCTCAGACCACAGCCACCAGCATGAACAGCGTAAATCAGGAGGACACATACCCGTACCTCGAGACAAACCAGTTACAGCTGGCAAAGTGCAGAAGTTTTCAATAAGATCCGGGCTGCTGCTTTAATCTAGGGCTGGCACATGGAAAACAAAAGTCCATATGCCCAAAAGCTTATCTGTTTCATTCAGCTGTATCAGCCAGCCTAATAAGAGATATCTCTTCTTACAGCTCTCACCATGGAAATGGGAGTCATTTATCATGAAAGACTTTTCCCTGAACTGCCTTGACCTTTTCTGTTGATGCTGCTTTTTCGCTGTGATTTTTACACATTTAAGGGACAGTCACACAGTCTAACTTTAAATGCATTACGAGCTTACATTCCCTATATAATAATGAGACCCCAAAAGGAGTTGCAGAAAGCTGTTAGATGCAACTGCTGTATCTTATTGTATCCCAGGTACTTACCTCCAGCATGTATTTCTATATGAAGACTTAACTACAGAGCTAAGTGGATTTATATTGATTTCACTGTTGTTACAACACATGCCAATATGTATACTTGACGCATACTCATTAAACTTCAAATTATATATATTTTTAAAGGGTGCTAATAGCACCATTTGATGTGGTAATTATTGATATTGGTTTCCAGTAGAAAGAACACTCAAACTACCAGCTAATTTCACATGAAAAACAGCTGTCACACGGTAATGACATTAAAAGTCACTAAGCTGATCTGCATTCAAAGCCATGCCATAGAGGTGAAAGGCCCTGTAGCCAATTATTACTCCTCCGAGCCAGACAGTCCCCAAACACAAGCAACATATGCAGATCCATCCCTCCTTGTCTTTAATTAGATCCTGCCTACCCTCTGTAGCAACAGCAGCAGAAGTGAGAAGGGCACATGTTAGGCAGTGGGGAAATAATCACAAAGAGAGCCTGACATGTTCTGTCTGGCATGTCCTGCTAACGCCCACACGCTGTACACGGGAAGGAAAACCAGCAGCAAGAGACAATTTTTACAGTGTCCATTCTGCAAAATGTACGAATTGCATGGAGCTAATAAGCACGGGGCATTCTGCACAGAACCTCCCAAGCCTCTTTGTCTGCTGCAACAATCATGGCACTGACAGATCAACGACGACTGTTTCTTCTGGTAGTTCTGGGTACACAAGGAACACAGGTTTGCACTCACTGCTTATGAGGAAATAACTTTAAAATAATCATTGGCACAATCTGGTACTACTTGAGCAAATCTAGTGAATCTATCCAATTTGCAGCAATTATGAAACTGGGCAGAAGCTAATAAAAAGGTCTAAAGAAAGGTACTACAGCAGCCAGACTGCCTTGGTAGAGATTTTCCAGCCAAAAACTCACCTGGCTGTTGCAACGGGCTCAGACATGGAGGACCTGCATGCCCGTATCTATGCTTGCTCCCTGCAAAGTCCCACTTGCTCTGGCTCCAGGCATAGTTCGTACAAAGT